TTAAATGTGCCAAGAAACTACGACAAAGATTGTGCGGCGCTTGTAAGTCGACTTGAAGCAAGCTTGTTTAAAACGATTTTTTCCACAACTCCATGATTTTATTGGATCAGCGCGAGCTATGGACCCTTACGATGGCTACCGTTATCACCAGCGAGAATGCGAAGACGACAGGCAATACATGAACAGTGGAATGTAATTTTACAAATAAAAATTCTAATAACTCCTAGGCCACGTGCCCGAAGCCCTTTTCTGAGAACAATGGATACGGTTTCCTCCACTATCATTCTCCGCGGAATGTCCACATCGATCACCGACCGAGATGTAAATAAGCGCAACTTACTCTATTTCTTTATAGCTGCGATATGCCCTCGAGGATGAAAGAGCACGTTATACTGACATACGTCTAGTGAAGGACAGAAAGACTGGCATTTCAAAGGGAATGGCGTTCGTCGATTTTTGCTCCCCAGACGATGCGCGGAGGTTCATGAGGGATTGTCATGTAAATTTTTGGAATTTTGCCAATATCTTCATATTAAGGGCGAATTAGAAATTCGTGGATACAGCATAAAAATGAATTTCAGTGCACCTAGGGATGAGCGGGATGAGGAAAGGTTTCAGCAACAGCCCCCTTTCCCATCTAGTTCTAAATTTGTCGGTCGCTCAGAGCCGCCTTCATCGACCATTATGATGAGAGGATTGCCCTCATCTCTTGAGGAACGTGATGTATGTTGATAATTCATGAGATTTATGGTTTAGGTGATCGATGTTCTTGATAGGGACGGTGTACGTTATGTGGACGTGCGCGTTATTCGCGACAAAAATACAGGCAAGTTTGGCGCATGCTTTCATTTTAGTCCCTTCATTTCCTTAATGCCTGTTGCTCGCAAAAAACCTTGTGGGAAATTACTTACTGTATTTCGTTAACTTGCTCTTGCTCGGTCAAACTTTCAAGTCAACATGACATTTCTCTACTAAGACAATTTACTACAGAAATAGGCAGCATGTTTCGTTTACGTTCACATACACATAGGGCTTCACTTTGTAGCTTTTATTATACACTTTCAACTCCGGCACTACAACCGTCGGGTACGTTGCTGACCTTGTTTCATATCGCATCCGATTCCACATTGAATCGAGGGTACACTGACAGATAGAGCTGTGGGCATTCTCAGACATAAACCTCTGAACGTTCTAATACGCACTATAATTCGATCTGCGTCTTTTTATTCCTGCGTTTATCTGATAACCACTGCGGATTATTTAGACGTTGGCGTC